TTATTTATTGACTGTTAGCGCTTTGTGCTGTCTCCCCCACTCCTTTATTTATTGACTGTTAGCGCTTTGTGCTGTCTCCCCCACTCCTTTATTTATTGACTGTTAGCGCCTTGTGGTGTCTCCCCCAGTCCTTTTATTTATTGACTGTTAGCGCTTTGTGCTGTCTCCCCCAGTCCTTTTATTTATTGACTGTTAGCGCCTTGTGCTGTCTCCCCCCACTCCTTTATTTATTGACTGTTAGCGCTTTGTGCTGTCTCCCCTAGTCCTTTATTTATTAACTGTTAGCACGTTTTGCGTTCTCCCCCAATCATTTATGTTTTCACTAAATTTAGGCCTCAATTTGATATTTTTGCACAAGCTTTTCAAATGTTTTAATATTTTGGATAGCATTTTAAAATTATTTGATGTTTTGAAAATATTTTGCTATTTTTTATATATATATATTGAAATATATATTTTTTCTAAATTATATAAGTTTTTAACGTTTACTGCCCCCCCCCCAATTACATAATTTCAAAAGCTTATCCCAAAAAATTAAATCCACCTTATTCTTTTTTTTTTTTTATCTCTCTTTTTTTTATACTTTGCACATTAAGGTGGGACTGTTTACAAAACATAATAAGTTATCAATTCGAAATGTATTCAACCCTTGTTAACTTTGCTGCACATATGACCTTGTTATATTTATCTGTCTGTACAGCCCTCTACGTACTCCTGGAGTAATATCTGTCTGTACATCCCTCTAAATACCCATGGGATAATATCTGTCCATACAGCCCCTTTATATATCACTGGGCTGATATCTGTGGGTACGGCCCTCTATGTACCCCTGATCCAACATGAAAACTGATTGTTGTTGTTGGGCCAGTAAGGAGTTGTATTTCTCATTTTGTGGCATAATTGGAAATACTTTCAAATTAATATTGTAAAGCGCTAAGGAATTTCTTGGCATTATATAAATGCCAATAATAAATAGCATAAATAAATACATTGGGTTTTTCCCTTTCTTTTGGACTGACAGCAGAAACAGAGAACTGTGAAAGGCTGAGCGCGACAGGTCTCTTTTCAGCCTGTATTACTGTGTGACTTTGCCAGTCACCGCTAGGACAATGTGTGTAGTTGGCCCGGTCCCTCTCTTTGCAGAGTGCTGCAGATGTTGTTCCCAGTCATGTAACCGCGGGGATAAAAGGATCCACATTAACTCACGCTGATGGGAAGTACAGAATCTGGAATCGCTCTTCCTATGAATGCAGATGGCGGCCAACCGGAGGCTGTTCCAAGTCTGAACACATCAATCCTATTTTACAACTCTGTCACTGAGCCGTGTACAAACACATTGCCAGTACCGTCCAACGATGTGGTCCTTATATCATCCCTGAGGATGGAGACTGTGCCGGAGTGGGTACATTTTATTAATATTTTTTTAATAAAACTCCAGGTCCTGTGACATGACAATTCAATGAATATTCTTCAGTTTACCAGCTTTTCTCATTCAAGTACTTACCTGCCATTGCACCCAGGTAAGTAGTTTCACAGTTCACAGGATTCTAAATGCAGTTACTCTAAGATCCATTGGTCTAAATTTAGATTACATTTAAATTGGATTTATAAAGGGAAAAGGGAGAGATCCCCAAGTCCAACACTAAATATCTGACATATATATGCACAATTCGTCTGTAACTCAATATAATTATCATAAATAATAATTTAATTTTCATTAATAATAATAAATAAAAAAAAACAGGTTTTGGATTATGAATCAATAATGTTCTATCAATAAAGGGGGGCAGTGCTAGAGTTCTTTCCCCCCTGATTTCCATTACCCAGTGTCCTCTCTGGCTCTCTGTTATATCTGGCTGCATTGACCAGTCCTGTCTATGTTGTAAACGCAGCCAATAGCCAAACCTCCTTCGACACATTCAGTCATATTCCGCTTAAAGATACACAATCAATCTCAGCCAAGAAGGCCCATATCATCGATATTGATTTATGAAAAGCAGATCCAATTAGCACTAAGTAAGTGTGTAGGTTCAAACAGTCCTATCAAGATGAATGTTTGCTCTAAATTATTCATTTATTTTTGTACTTTATGCATGTTTCAGTATATTTTAGAAGTAGAGAAAACATGTGTTATATATTTATTATATAATAGACGATTACTCTAACGTTACAAATACAAACACGTATACCTAACATTACAATGTTTATATTTAGATTGTTGACTCCCCTCCCCCCTCATCCACCACCACCACCGAAAAATAAAATTAAGCATTTTTACTTGCCTCTAGTCCACTGGTGCGGGAGTCTCTTAATGAAGATGATCTCTGATGCATCGACTTGAGGAGTCTCTATAGGGAGCATTTTGCATCTACATGCAGAGCATGGAGACGCTGAACATCGCTCCTGTAATCTTTGCAAGCTCGAACCCAGGAAGTCCCACTAGTGGCCGTCCGACTAACAACCACTACAAAAGGCCCTGATTACATTGCTCAGCCTACAAGGTCAGACTATGTGCCCTGGTAAACATGCTTTCAGTTTGGCCATAGGCGTTTCTAGAGTGGGGCTTAGTGGGGCTGAAGCCCATGGATTTCTGCTGTTGGTGGAGGGGTCAGGAGGATATGAGTTTTTTTTTTTTTTTTTTTATTGACACCAGGAAGCTGCTTTTCAAAGTAGTCACTTAGTATAAAAAGAAAGATCAGTAATATGGGGCTGTACAAACTGATTAGTTACAAAGTGGCGGGATTACATGGAACTCCTGAATGTGCAGCATGGGCTTGTTTCCGACTATGCTTTTACTCAGACACTGGAGAGCATTTGCAGGATGCTGGAAATGGGTAAAGACCAGGAGATAACATAGGAAAGTCGGGAACTGTCATGACATATCCCCAGCTCTCTACTATAGTAGGGGTTACTGTCACGACATATCCACACCTCTCTGTCATGGTAGGGGTTACTGTCATGACATACCCCAGCTCTCTGCCAGGGTGGGGGTTACTGTCATGACATACCCCAGCTCTCTGCCAGGGTGGGGGTTACTGTCATGACATACCCCAGCTCTCTGCCAGGGTGGGGTTACTGTCATGACATACCCCAGCTCTCTGCCAGGGTGGGGGTTACTGTCATGACATACCCCAGCTCACTGCCAGGTTAGGGGTTACTGTCATTACATACCCCAGCTCTCTACCGGGGTAGGGGTTATCAAGTTTTCCCTTGGACCAAGTGTGGCAATTGTAGTAAGAAATCTGAAATTAACTTTAAATTAATTAATTTAATATAATATATATATATATATATATATATATATATATGTATACACACACTTTAGACACATTATATATACTGTATAAACATTACACACACACACACACATTATGTATACTGAAAATACATCACACATTGTATATTGTACACACATCACACACACATTATATATACCATTTATATCACACACACACACACACATATATGCTGTATTTACATTATACACACACACACACACTCTCTCTGTTACTCTCACTCTCTCACACTGCGTTACTCTTGCACGCTCTCTCTGTCATTCTCTCACACTCAGGTACTCTCTTACACTCTCTCTGTTACTCTATCTCACTCAGTTACTCTCTCAAACTCTCTGTTACTCTATCACACTCAGTTACTCTCTCACACTCTCCCAGTTACTCTCTCAGTTACTCTCTCACACAGTTATTCTCTCACACCCTTTCTGTTACTCTCTCAGCTACTCTCCCACACTTAATCTCTCACACTCTCTCTGTTACTCTCTCTCACACTCAGTTACTCTCACACTTAGTTACTCTCTCACACTCTCTATATTACACTCTCTCACACTCAGTTACTCTCACACTTAGTTACTCTCTCACACTCTCTCTGTTACTCTCTCACACACTCAGTTACTCTCACACTCAGTTACTCTCACATTTAGTTACTCTCTAACACTCTTTGCTACTCTCTCAAACTCTCTTTGTTACTCTCTGAAACTCTCTCAGCTACTCTCTCACACTCAGTTACTCTCTCACACTCTCTCAATTACTTTCTCTCCCTCAGTTACCCTCTCAGACTCTCTGTTACTCTCTCACACTCTCTCTGTTACTATCTCACACTCGGTTACTCTCTCACACTCTCTCTGTTACTCTCTCACACTCAGTTACTCTCTCTCACTCTCTCTCTGTTACTCTCTCACACTCTCTCTGTTACTCTCTCACACTCAGTTACTCTCTCTCACTCTCTCTGTTACTCTCTCTGTTACTCTCTCACACTCAGTTACTCTCTCACACTCTCTCTGTTACTTTCTCACACTCTGTTACTCTCGCACAGTCCGTTACTCTCTCTCACTCAGTTACTCTCTGCCACTCTCTATGTTACTCTCTCACACTCAGTTACTCTCTGTCATACTCTCTCTCACTCAGTTACTCTCTGTCATACTCTCAGTTACTCTCACTTAGTTACACTCTGTCACTCTCTCTGTTGCTCTCTCACAATCAATCTGCAGCTACTCTCTCAAACTCTCTAAGTCACTCTCTCACATCTCATTCCCTCTCATATTCTCTCTTTCCCTCTATCTCCATTTCTCTGTCTATCACCCTATTTCTCTTTCTCTTCCTATCTATCCATGTCTTTGTTTCCATCTCTCTTTCTATTTATTCTCTCTCTCTCTCCATTTCTCACACTCTCTCTCTCACTCTGTCCATTTCTCTCTCTCCATTTATTCTCTATCTCCCTCCCTCTCTCTCCATGTATCTATCTCTTTCTCTCTCACTCACTCACTCTCTCAATTTCTCTCTCTCTCTCCATTTATTATCTCTCTTTCTCACTCTCCCCATTTCTCTCTCCCCCCCTATTTATTCTCACTCTCTCCATTTCTCTCACTCTCTCTGTCCATGGAGAAGCTGCAGTGCTAAAGATTTCCAATCCCAGCTCCTCCTTGTGTGCAGATCCCTCCCAGCCTTCTCTCTCAGCCTTCTCCCCCATCCTCTCTCCTTCCCTCCCTCTCCTCTCTCTTCCTCCATCTCGTCTCCCTCCCTCCCTCCATCTCCTCTCTCCCTCTCGCTCCTCCACCCATAGCAGCCAGACACAGTGAGAAGGCAGGGATTGGATGTGCTCTCTCTCTGAAGGGTCCTCCCTGGGGTCCATTCCTGATCTTACATCCCTACTTTTTGGAGCCTGGACCAGAAGGAGACTGTGCCCTTCTCCCCTAGTCTGGGGCCCCTGGGAGCTGGATGAGGCTGGCACAGCATGCCAGGGTGTCAGTGTGCTGTGTTCCTTGCCCTTGTAGGGGCATTAAGATGGGGCTTCAGCTGAGGAGCAGGAAGGCTTGCCCAGGGATGGATGTTATGGATGGAGCCAGGCTTGCCCTCTGAATGCCCCTTACATGCCATCTCCCTTCTCCATCCCCTGAGCGTCTCTTTCCCTGCGGCGGGTGGGCAGGTGGGGGCTGCAGCAGGAGAGAGGGCAAACCTGGCACTGGCTGGATGGCATGGTGCAGACACAGTCTGACTGAAGGTAAGGCTGGCACACTGCAGCAATGGGTGAAATGGGTGGAGGGAATGACAGAGAGAGAGAGATGGAGAGGGAAATCTGTACTGTTATAATATAGCTGTTAAATATCCTAAATCTGTGTTATATATCATATCTCCATGTTATATATCCATTCTCCATGGTAAATGTCCTATCTCCATGTTAAATATCCTATCTCAATGCTATATAGCTCCCTGCCCATGCTATACATCCTATCTCCATGTTAAATATCCTATCTCAATGCTATATAGCTCCCTGCCCATGCTATACATCCTATCTCCATGTTAAATATCCTATCTCAATGCTATATAGCTTACTGCCCATGCTATACATCCTATCTCCATGTTAAGTATCCTATCTCAATGCTATATAGCTCCCTGCCCATGCTATACATCCTATCTCCATGGTAAATATCCTATCTCCATGCTATATAGCTCCCTGCCCATGCTATACATCCTATCTCCATGCTATATAGCTCCCTGCCTATGCTATACATCCTATCTCCATGGTAAATATCCTATCTCCATGTTATATAGCTCTCTGCCCATGCTATACCAAGCTATACCATGCTTTATACTCTGCCCATGCTAACCATGATATTTACCATGGAGATGTTAAATATCCTATCTCCATGTTATATATCCTATCTCCATGTTATATAGCTCTCTGCCCATGCTATGTACGCTATAGCCATGTTATATATCCTATCTCCATGTTATATAGCTCTCTGCCCATGCTATGTACGCTATAGCCATGTTATATATCCTATCTCCATGTTATATATGTAATCTCCATGTTATATATACAACCCCTGTTATATATCTGTATTTTCCTGTCCATGGTGGTAATACAGCCCATATTATATATCTGTATATCTCTCTCCATGGTGGTAATACAGCCCATATTATATATCTGTATATCCCTCTCCATGGTGGTAATACAGCCCATATTATATATCTGTATATCCCTCTCCATGGTGGTAATACAGTCCATATTATAAATCTGTATACCCCTGCCTATGGTGCTGAATTAACCTCCGTCCATAGATAAATACACAACTCGGTCCATGGTGCTGACATGTACTGAGTTACACATTTACTAACCTCCTTATATATAAATTGTATTCCCATTTCGATACATCCACAGTTATACATTCCCACTATGCATCCACAGATATACACCCACAGATATACATTCCGCCTATGCTTCCGCAGTTATACATCCACAGTTATACATTCCCACTATACATCCACAGTTATACATTCACACTATGCATCCACAGATATACATTCACACTATGCATCCACAGATATACATTCCCACTATGCTTCCGCAGTTATACATTCCCACTATGCTTCCGCAGTTATACATCCACAGTTATACATTCCCACTATACACCCACAGATATACATGCCCACTTTGCATCCACAGTTATACCTTCCCACTATACATCCACAGTTATACCTTCCCACTATACATCCACAGTTATACCTTCCCACTATGCATCCACAGATATACACCCACAGATATATATTCCCACTATGCACCCACAGGTATACATCCACAGATATACATGCCCACTATGCATCCACAGGTATACATCCACATTTATACATCCTCACTATGCAGCCACAGATATACATTCACAGATATACATTCCCACTATGCATCCACAGGTATACATCTACAGATATACATGCCCACTATGCATCCACAGGTATACATGCCCACTATGCATCCACTGTTATACATCCACAGATATACATGCCCACTATGCATCCACAGTTATACATCCACAAATATACATTCCCACTATGCATCCACAGGTATACATTCACAGATATACATTCCTACTGTGCACCCACAGTTATATATCCACAAATATACATTCCCACTATACATCCACAGATATACATGCCAACTATACATCCACAGATATACATGCCAACTATGCATCCACAGGTATACATTCACAGATATACATTCCTACTGTGCACCCACAGTTATATATCCACAAATATACATTCCCACTATACATCCACAGATATACATGCCAACTATGCATCCACAGATATACATCCCCACTATGCATCCACAGATATACATCCACAGATATACATTCCCACTATGCACCCACAGATATACATCCCCACTATGCAGCCACATTTATACACCCTGATATACATATATTGAGCTAACCAGTTACTGACCTCCCCCTATAGAGCTCTTCATATGGTCCCAGCTATATATCCACAGATATGTATGTACTGAGTTAACCATATATTGGCCTCCTTGGGTTGGGATAGAATGAGTCAGTTTCCCGATAGGTCCAGCTCTGTAACCTGCACTCTAAGCAGATATATATCCATGACCCCTGGTCTTCCTAAAATACATCACTAGCATGTCACTAGCATGTCACTAGCATGTACTCTTAGTCCAAAACAATTCCCTCATTTTAGGATGTCATTAAACATGCAGCCTGCAGGTGGGGAGAACCAACATACATGGTGCAAGCCATGTCACTGGCAAACATGAAACAGATCACAGTCCAAATACATTCCAATGCCCAGACTCCAGGAACACGCTTCTATATTACCCCACAATCATGAGACATTTGATGAGTGTGAGCCATGCAAGGCCAGTAAATGTTACCTGTATCAAATAATCATCATGCACGCTGTACATGTACGTAAAATGGCTAGCACTGTGCATACTGTCACTTATTTATAACATAGCGAGAAAAGGACTGGGGGTAAAACAACATGTTACATCAGCATTCCATTCTTAATATCTCATAACACAGAGCAACAAATATCTTATGGTACAGAGCTTCTAATATCTGATATCACAGAACTCCTAATATCTGATGGTACAGAGCTCCTAAAATCTGATGGCACAATGCTCCTAATATCTGATGATACAGAGCTCTTAATATCTGATGGTACAAAGCTCCTAATATCTGATGGCACAGAGCTCCTAATATCTGATGGTACAGAGCTCTTAATATATGATGGCATAGAGCTCCTAATATCTGATGGTAAAGAGCTCCTAATATCTGATGGTACTGAGCTCTTAATATCTGATGGCACAGAGCTCCTAATATCTGATGGTAAAGAGCTCCTAATATCTGATGGTACTGAGCTCCTTAAATCTGATGGTACTGAGCTCCTTAAATCTGATGGTAGTGAGCTCTTAATATCTGATGGTACAGAGCTCCTAATATCTGATGGTACAGAGCTCCTAATATCTGATGGTACAGAGCTTCTGATATTTGCTGGCTCTACTTTTGAAGGGATACTGTACATTTGCCAAATATCTTCTCTTTCGAACATGTTTTCACATTATATTATTAATAAATATTTGTGCCACCTTTATAATTAGTATAATTTTTAGTTAAAATGTGCAGTTACCTTTATTCCATCGACGTCTGCAGTCTCCTCGCCGCAGTTTGCTACACCCCTTTTGCAACAGTTTTTAAACCAGCTTGTTTCACCTCATTTCTTTTCAGTTTGGTCCAATCAATAGGTTCTCATAGAGAGGCATGGTGGACCATAGGAGCGTGCGCAACAAGACCCACGATCCACGAAATAAATCTCATAGGGAATCATTGCGTTCAAGTATTCTTTATGAGAATTCACCAATGCTACATCACGTGGTTTCACAAGCGGTGAGCTAAATGACAGATCAGCTTATTGCTGTCTTAAGGCCTCCATATCTGAAAAGCAGTCTGTGGTATGGATGTCTATTCTTCAAAGCTCTAGCTTGTAAACTCGAGCGCGCACTACAGGACACAAGGCCTGCTGACACCATAGTACGATTGGATATCCAAGACAGGGAACTGAATTGCAGACTCGCTGAATCAGAGGGTTTGGCAGCTTTCAAGTTCAATTTTTCTAGTTTATTAAGAAAGAAAACATCAACTTAATTCTTGAATTTCAATTAGATGAAGTTGTTATTGTGAATACAGTGAACCTTTAATCATGGGGGCTTGTTACACTTATGGATGGGGGGTCAGCTTCATAGGTAGGTCTATTATACATATTAAAGACAGACCCTTATATGGGAGAGACAGACCCATAGATAGGAGAGACAGACCCTTAGATGGGAGAGATAGACCAATGGATAGGAAAGACAGACCCATAGATAGGAGAGATAGACTTGTAACAGATCCCAGTACTCCAACTAAGTACATCCGTGAAGAATCTCCCAAGACCCAAGCACCGTAGTGATTATAAGTGTGAAAATAGCTCCCAATCAAACATGAGCCTAGACTTGATGATCTGTTTAATCAAGGCTCAATGACCTGCTTTTATACATTTCAGAGTCACAGCAAATACTCCCAGGACAGTCCCACACAAAACAGGGTAATCCCTCCCCTGTGCCTGAGAGATAATTAAGTTAGGAACTGTACAAACTAAATTATCTCCAGGCATAGGAATAGACAATTTATAAAACACCCCAAAATACACATAAAATACACGAAAACCCCACCAAAGTTACATCAACTGATAGCCTCGATCTAGGTGACCAACATATTAAAAAAATCACCCAGATCGGTTCAGGGGTTTGGGATTTCCATGTAAGTCAATTATTTGACTGACCGTGCACATGGGCCTATGCCCAAAACAGTTCCATGAAATCAGGGCTAGTGGTTATTCAACTTTGATAACATAAAAACGAAGTTTAAACGAATTCCGTAACTGAGGAAGAGAATGGTTCCTGGGAAGACAAAATAGGGGTTTTGTCACATAACTCCCCCCCCTCCCCCCAGTTCCATGGGACGGCATACCTGCCTAGACCCCAACGGGTTGGCTTGGGGATGTCCGGTCAAGTTGGTTATTTTTCTAGCTCCGGAAAGTGCCGAACCAGGGACACCCAGGACAAGCCACTAATGGCAGTTGAGGAGATTTAACTCCCGAACAGGGTCTTTGTCAGTGAGCAGGAGGCTAGCGTCCAAACTCGTCCAGGCAGAGGAGCGTTCGTCACATATCTCCCCCCTCCTTTGGAGACAAACCAGACCTCCAATCGGTCTGGGTCTGTGTTAGTCTAGTGGCCTTTTCCAAAAGGGGCAGTGATCCAGAGGGCCTCCTGCTAAAATCCACTCCTGAGACACCACATTGTTGCTGGGGGGGGAGTGAAGACACATCTGCTCCCTGTTGTATGTACTGCCGCTGGGTAATGAGACTGGTTGTCTCCACAGCAGGTAATGCTGTCTGTTGCTGGGTAGTGAGACCGACCATCTCCACTCCCAGGGATGCTGCGGCTGCTGGGGAGAGCGACCAACAATCTCCTCTGCCTGTGACGCTGGCTGTGGCTGGGTAGTGAGATTGACCATCTCCACTCCCAGTGATGCTTGGTGCTGCTGGGATGAGGGGCTGACAATCTCTTCTCCCTGTGACGCTACCTGTGCTGGGTAGTGAGACGGACTATCTCCACTCTCAGGGATGCTTGCTGCTGCTGTAATGAGGGACCGACAATCTCCTCTCTCTGTGACGCTGCCTGGTGCTGGGTAGTGAGACCAACTATCTCCACTCCCAGGGATGCTTGCTGCTAAACTGCTTTTCGTAAGTTCTCGTATTCCTGCTCCAGTTCCCATTCTACGGCAGTCAGACGGGTGATATCAGGTCCCAGGGCTGTAGTATTAGGTAGCTCCAGTGCGTCCATACAGTATTCCCGGATGCCCCAGCACCGAGACTCTGCCATGCTGGCTGCCTAAGTAATCCTCCACTCCCAGGGATGCTTGCTGCTAAACTGCTTTTCGTAAGTTCTCGTATTCCTGCTCCAGTTCCCATTCTACGGCAGTCAGACGGGTGATATCAGGTCCCAGGGCTGTAGTATTAGGTAGCTCCAGTGCGTCCATACAGTATTCCCGGATGCCCCAGCACCGAGACTCTGCCATGCTGGCTGCCTAAGTAACTGTCCTCCTCCAAAGCCTACCATAGTAGAGCAGGGCCATTGTAGTCATCCCCTTCTGGTCTTTCGTTCTACTCCCTCCACGACACCTTTGGACCGAGTACCACTGTAGCGCCCAGTATGCCTCATCCAGCCACAGTTCCTTCTTGATAAGCCGCTGAAATTCTATTATCCATTCTTCCTGGGGCAGATACTCCAGTAAAGGCAACCTCAGCACTGTTTGCTTCTGCCTGTGCCGTTCTGAACTGGGAAGGCTCTCTCCCCCTTGAGCTTGAGATGCTCCAGGGCCTTGTGCCAGAGGTCTTGCCGTATGTTTTCCTTCCAGGCCAGCTCCTCCTCTGCTGAAATAGGGCCATGCTCCTGGGCCAGTGCGCCTTGTAGTCTCACCTGGAACTCCTCCTCATATGGGGATGCTGCCCGGGCTTGCTCGCTCCATCTCCCGAGTTCCTCTGCAGACAGGGATGCTGCTCGACCCATCACTGCACTTCCTGGTTTGGGATATCCATTTGAGAGAAAAATCGCCACTTGCCACCAATGTAATGGATCCCAGTACATCCCTGAAGAATCTCCCAACTCCCAAGCGCCGTAGTGATTATAAGTGTGAATATAGCTTCAAATCCATCAAACATGAGCCTAGACTTCATGAAGGGGTAAGATGATCTGTTTAATCCAGACTCAATGACCTGCTTTTATACATTTAAGAGTCACAGCAAAAACACCCAGGACACAAACACACAAAACAACGTAATCCCCCCCCCCTTTGCCTAAGAGATAATTAAGTCAGGAACTGTTCAAACTCAATTATCTCCAGGCACAGAAATTTATAAAACAATAAAAAAGACAAACTCATAGATAGGAGAGATAGAACTATAGATAGAAGGGACAGACCCATAGATATGAGAGACAGAACCATAGATAGGAGAGATGGACTCAAAGATTGGAGAGACAGACCCATAGATAGGAGAGACGGACCCTAATATGGGAGAGATGGACACATAGATAGGAAGGACAGACTCATAGATAGGCGAGACAGACCCATAGATGGGAGGCACAGACCAATGGATATAAGAGACAGATGCACAGATATGATATATAGATCCATAGATAGTTGAGACAGACCCATAGATTGGAGGGATAGACCCATAGATAGAAGAGATAGATTCATAGATATGAGAGACAGACCAATGGATATGAGAGACAGACCCATAGATAGGAAAGATGGACCCTTGTTTAGAGAGACAGACCCATATTTAGGAGATAGACCCATACATAGGAGAGAGAGACCAATGGATATAGGAAACAGACCCATAGATAGGGAAGATAGACCAATGGAAATATGAGACAGACTCATAGATAGGAGCGACAGACCCACAGATAGGCGGTACAGACCCAGAGATAGGGGAGATAGATCTACAGATAGAAGAGACAGACCCATACGTAGGTAAGATGTACAGACCAATAGATAGGAAGGACAGACCCATAGATGGTGAGAGACAGACCCATACATTGGTGGGACAGACTCAAAGATATGAGATGTTTTTATATAGGTGACAAATCTTTATCCGGGGGATACTGTCTCCGATATTAATGATAGACATTTGTGAAGAAGGAAAATACTCATGAACAAGTGGGCACATTATAAAGGGGATAAAGTTTGACATAGCATGATAAAGTTTTAGATGGGGGGGAAATACTCTCGAACAGGAGACAGTCTGTGGACAAATTCTTTAAAGAGGCAGAACAGAGTAAAAAAAGAATCATCATTTTTGTTTGATCAAAGAGGTTGTTGTCATTTCATGATTCATATTCCATGTATGGCAAAAGAATATGGTTAAAATAAAAATCTATATTTTGATTATTGTAAGCAGTTGAATGAATAAGAATTAATTTTGTAATAATCAGGAAGTGCTTCCATTTTGGTCTAGAACCGGCAATCTTACAAGCCATCATGCCGACACACCAGGGACCCCTCCAGACGGGCTCCTGGCATATGTCCTTTGCAGATCCAGTTTGTGTTCCTTCCATAGATTTAGTACGGAGTGGATATCAATGCACTTACAGCCATCTGCTACGCTGCTCAGGTCGCTCCACTCCCCCAACATCTGTCTGTGTGTGACTCCATTTTGCTAACTGCTAAAAGATGCTAAATCCACTTTATTATGAGAATCTTTCAGAATTCAAGAGTCTCAATCCTGCCTCGACCCCCAACACCATGGTAATAATTCTGTTCCATTTACTTCAGGGCAGGGTGCTTTAATAAATATAATTTAGAGCTAGCGGATGAAGTATTGGGACATGTATTGACTGCGCTGGAAGGAAAATTGGGTGAAAATGGGTCTGGTTAGAAACACTTAACATGTATTGATTGATATTTGTGGTTATTCAGAATGTGTTAAGAAAATAGCCGCAGAATGTGACTTTTCCTGAGACACTGGCTTGCCAGCTGCAGAATCTGGATTTATTTCCAGGGGCAGAGGGGCGCATTCAGCATCCTGTTAGTGAGAATACAAAGGACTAACTCCTCCAGAGCATTCTGGGAAACCAGCTTCAAAAAGCAGAACTGAAAGTTTTACATTATTAGCAAGAAAGACCTAATGTGCATTAATTAGACATTATTCTGCAGTTTAGATCAGGGAATTAGGAACCTTGAAAACCCACTGATTGAAAACCTGGTATTAATTAATGTAATATAAGGAATGAGCTGCATGCATGTTATTCTGTATGAGCTGCCGAGGGGTAAGAATGCTATATGTGTTATTCTGTATGAGCTGCCGAGGGGTAGGAATGTTATATGTGTTATTCTGTATGAGCTGCCGAGGGGTAGGAATGTTATATGTGTTATTCTGTATGAGCTGCCGAGGGGTAGGAATATTATATGTGTTATTCTGTATGAGCTGCCGAGGGGTAGGAATGTTGTATGTGTTATTCTGTATGAGCTGCCGAGGGGTAGGAATGTTATATGTGTTATTCTGTATGAGCTGCCGAGGGGTAGGAATGTTATATGTGTTATTCTGTATGAGCTGCCGAGGGGTAGGAATGTTATATGTGTTATTCTGTATGAGCTGCCGAGGGGTAGGAATGTTATATGTGTTATTCTGTATGAGCTGCAGAGGGGTAGGAATGTTATATGTGTTATTCTGTATGAGCTGCCGAGGGGTAGGAATGCTATATGTGTTATTCTGTATGAGCTGCCGAGGGGTAGGAATGCTATATGTGTTATTCTGTATGAGCTGCAGAGGGGTAGGAATATTATATGTGTTATTCTGTATGAGCTGCCGAGGGGTAGGAATGTTGTATGTGTTATTCTGTATGAGCTGCCGAGGGGTAGGAATGTTATATATGTTATTCTGTATGAGCTGCCGAGGGGTAGGAATGTTATATGTGTTATTCTGTATGAGCTGCAGAGGGGTAGGAATATTATATGTGTTATTCTGTATGAGCTGCCGAGGGGTAGGAATGTTATATGTGTTATTCTGTATGAGCTGCCGAGGGGTAAGAATGTTATATGTCTTATTCTGTATGAGCTGCCGAGGGGTAGGAATGTTATATGTGTTATTCTGTGTAAGCTTGGGAGGGGTAAGAATGTTATATGCCTTATTCTGTATGAGCTGCCAAGGGGTAGGAATGTTATATATGTTATTCTGTATGAGCTGCCGAGGGGTAGGAATGTTATATGTGTCATTCTGTATGAGCTGCCGAGGGGTAGGAATGTTATATGTGTTATTCTGTGTAAGCTTGGGAGGGGTAAGAATGTTATATGCCTTATTCTGTATGAGCTGCCGAGGGGTAGGAATGTTATATATGTTATTCTGTATGAGCTGCCGAGGGGTAGGAATGTTATATGTGTTATTCTGTGTGAGCTGCCGAGGGGTAGGAATGTTACATGTGTTATTCTGTGTAAGCTTGGGAGGGGTAAGAATGTTATATGCCTTATTCTGTATGAGCTGCCAAGGGGTAGGAATGTTATATGTTATTCTGTATGAGCTGCCGAGGGGTAGGAATGTTATATGTGTCATTCTGTATGAGCTGCCGAGGGGTAGGAATGTTATATGTGTTATTATGTATGATGCCGAGGGGTATGAATATATTTGTGTTATTCTGTTTGAGCTATCGAGGGGTAGGATTGTTATATGTGTTATTCTGTATGAGCTGCCTAAGGGTATGAGTATTATATGTGTTATTCTGTATGAGCTGCCGAGGGGTAGGAATATTATATGTGTTATTCTGTATGAGCTGCCAAGGGGTAAGAATATTATATGTGTTATTCTGTATGAGCTGCCGAGGGGTAGGAATGATGTATGTGTTATTCTGCATGAGCTGCCGAGGGGTAGGAATGTTATATGTGTTATTCTGTATGAGCTGCCGAGGGGTAGGAATGTTATATGTGTTATTCTGTATGAGCTGCCGAGGGGTAGGAATGTTATATGTGTCATTCTGTATGAGCTGCCGAGGGGTAGGAATGTTATATGTGTTATTCTGTATGAGCTGCCGAGGGGTATGAATATTATTTGTGTTATTCTGTATGAGCTGCCGAGGGGTAAGAATATTATATGTGTTATTCCGTGTGAGCTGACGATGGGTAGGAATGCTATATGTGTTATTCTGTATGAGCTGGGTAGAAATGTTATACGTGATATTCCTTGCGAGCTGCCGAGGGGTAGGAATGTTATATGTGTTATTCTGTATGAGCTGCCGAGGGGTAGGATTGTTATATGTGTTATTCTGTATGAGCTGCCGAGGGGTAGGAATGTTATATGTGTTATTCTGTATGAGCTGCCGAGGGGTAGGAATGCTATATTCTGTATGAGCTGGGTAGAAATGTTATACGCGATATTCCTTGCGAGCTGTCGAGTGGTAGGAATGTTGCCATTTAATGAGAGCCTCATTCTCTTTAGTCATTTTATCTTTTATAGGCTTTCTTGTGTCTGCTCACATTCTGCTTTAAAGTGATCCTACTCTTTGCCACGTGTCCATGTAGTGTGTCCTCTGGTTCCCTGGGAATATGGAGTGCGTGCAGAACATGTAGCTTTGATGGTGGATTGTTTCTGAAGATAAAAGGAATGGTTTGGGGAGTGAAGACAGTGGTTTTTTGCTAGTTAGTAGGTCTCTGTTTGGGGAGATAGCATTCATGGTGAGATTTTTTGTGTGTGTAATGAGAAGCACTCACTCTGTGGCCCCTAGTCTAGACTCTGGTGGCACACTCTTTGCATTTTTATTTGGCATAACCTTCCATGTCATGTAGGGATGTGTGACAGACTTGGCTTTTGAAAACACAAGAGATTGTACAGCATTTAAAAGAAGCAGGGATTTAAATTATCTGATCATTGTTAGAGGTGTGAATGCACCTTTCATTTTATTGAACACCACACATTTTAATGTCCAACTTTAGCTTTCTGAACCTCTCACTTTACAAAAACAAAACAGTATAGATCCATCCAATACAGGTACCTGTAATAATGTATCGAGGTATGAGATCTGCAAACAGGCCTGCCATTAAGGGGGGTAGAACCCCTTCACATGTATTACTATATATACATATATGGAGCCGCAGATGCGGTACATCCAGGATCTCCGTTACCGGGCATTTGCAGGAATATGCAGCAAGTGGGGGCCTATGAGACTCTCAGCTTCAACCTCAGGGCGGACTTCTCTCACCGAGATCCCTGGCAGTCAGAGCATTGGTGCGGGTTAACACGGCAACGCTCCGGTACCACATACCAATAGAGAGGAGCCTTAACCCGGCAGGTGAAGGCTTAGAGTCTCTAGAGTACCACGGGACCATCAGGGAATGTTCTGTCCCTG